TTAAAGCGGTCATATGATGTTGCTAAGAAGAACATTATTTTGTGTATTTGGTGTAATGAAATGTGTTTATGCGGTTTAAGGTTCAAAAAACACATTATTTTCCACATACTGTACATTATTGTTTCTCCTCTATGCCCCACCTTCTGAAACGCGTTGATTTTTACAAAGCTCATCTTTGAAAAAGTCTGGTCTGAAAAGCGAGGTGTGCTCTGATTGGCCAGCTATCCAGTGCGTAGTGATTGGCCGAACACCTCAAGCGTGTGACGGAAATGTTACGCCCCTACCATACTGTGATGCCCTGTCCGGCCGGAGCGACGAGACAAAAACATTAAAACCCATTACAAACGAGGCATTTGTTGCATCCAGTGGGGACATAATTACGGGTTATAATGACTTATACTGTCTTTTTACGCGTTGCATCGCGCCGCGTAAACATAAAACCATGTCTGCATTTGTGATCGGAGAAATGACAAACAACAAGCGCTACTCTACACTGCTCAAAACTCGAGTTTGAATCGTCAGTGGCAAATTCTTTAAATATGAAAACGTACTTACAGTCTGTGAGTCAGAACAGCCGGCATTGTAGTCTACTCTACCAGGATCAGGAAACAGTCCTCCATAAAATGTGCTGCACACATCTGAATATTTGGGTTGAACTGTTCTGGAACAGTGTTGTAAATACAACTTAACCACTGATTTCTAGTCGTGTCCTCTTTTGGAAGGCCAAACAAAGTAGTTTTGCTTTCACAACGAAACACAGCGTCACACATTGCGGCCTTGAGTGAGCGGAGGCCGGTGGCTAGAATGAGCAGAGGCCGGCGGGCTTGCGGCAACCACTTGTGACGACCCCGGACTGGACTCCGCTTCGTCCACGGTGAAAGCCGATCCGGCGATCCACAGCACGAAGTTGATGTATTTCCTCAGCGACCAGCACGGATCAGCTCTAGGCATGACGAAGCGGATATAGTCCTCTTTTGGAAGGCCAAACAAAGTAGTTTCGCGAACCAAGGGAGACGAACACAGGAAGACGTTCACACGAAGACCTTCAACATCGGACAGAGAATTAGGGGCTGGGAACACTTTATATACACACACACAGGAGGAGGGGATGACGAGACACACCTGGGAGCAATGGAAATTAAACCTGGGAAACACCTGGGAAGGAATCAACTTAAATTAGGACAGGAACAGGAAACAAACCAAATAAGGGCATGGGAAGGCACATGGGGAGCAGGACACACACGAAACATGGAACAGAGTCTGACAATATGACCCCTTTAAATATATTTATATTAATATTTATATAATAATATTTTTATTTTATATATTTAAATAAAGTAAATATATACTTATAATATTATTATTGTTATTAATAACAGTAATATTAATTAATTTAATAAAAGCAACAACAACAATGCTAAAAATATTAATATTAATATTAATATTATTGTATTAATTATTGAGGGTTTTTTTTCTTGTTCATGGCTGCAGTTGTATCAAATTTTGATAGAAAATGTACTAAAATATAACCATATTTGTGACCCTGGACCACAAAACCAGTCATAAGTAGCATGGGTATATTTGTAGCAATAGCCAACAATACATTGTATGGGTCAAAATTATTGATTTTTCTTTTATGCCAAAAATCAT